ATTAAAGAAGGGCCAAATTAAAAGTACCCTTAACCGACGAGCTTGCATGAAAAGATTGATGACTGTTATTGAAGCGAAAGAGGTATGTAAGAATCGTAGTAATTGGCGTTCCTTAGTCTCTGCCTACCCCCATGGGAGACAGGCGTGAAGTTATGTATGTATGTATGTATTGCACAGCAGCTTTAGGTGCCGTAATATGCACCTCTGCCTTCCCCTTCACGGATAAAAGGGCGTGATTTTATGATGTTTATGATGAGTCTAACATGGTGCTCACATACGCATACTGACAATCCATAAAAATACTGCTTCTATACAAGAAAAAGGAAACTCTTTGTTTCAATAAAGAAAGAAATAATCATAAGGAAACTAGATTGTGTACATTAGAATGAAAGTATTAAATTACCTACTATTGGAATCTAACTACTGACTACATTTGAGTATTCTCCAGTGGAGCCAAACCAACATGCTGCCAAGCATTCTTATCTTCAAGATAATCTGTCAGTGTGTAGTAAGCTTGATTACATAATTCGCGCTTTTGATATATGCTCTGTCTGTCCTCTAAAGATAGTTATTACATGACTTTATAATACAGATAGGTAATGTAAGTTGTGACATTTGTTGTTATTCAGACCATAGGCATAATATTTCTCGGGACGATCTCCGGCCACCGTAAGCGCGGGCCTGCGGACGGCGAGCATGGGTGGCTCCCCGTTCGACCAGAAACAGACCCGAGCGTACGGCGCGTCGTGTTCCGCGCGCGCCTCAAAGAGCCATCAGACCACCACAGATGGGGCCCAATAGGGCCGATGCCGATTCGGAGTCGCGGAGAACCTAACGGGTAACCGGCTCGACGTGCAGGATAAGGAACGGGGTGGTTTTTAGTCAGTAAGAGTCTGACACTCCCTCCCGCCTCACCCAGGCGGGAGCAGCCATTCGATGATTTTCCCCCCTTAAAAAAAAGGCATAATATTTCTCTGATTTCTCTGACTCTTTCTTTACTGCTAGTTTAAATATGTGCATCTCGTTCTCGCAGTATTGAAGTGAAGTTGGCTTTAACAGCCATGATGACAGGGTATGAAAGTTAAAAATGTAATTAGTCCGTCAGTTTGGTAATGAAAAAATATTAGACTCGTATTTTTTTATTTTGTCGTATAATAAAACGATACTTAGATAAAACGAATCAAAGTTTAGGAGTGGAGGCTAAAATGTAATTTCTACGTATAAAATGTACATAGAAGTGAAGTCACGCGACATTTCAAATCAATATATCTTCGAAACTATTCGTTTCTGTAAGAAAATAAAAAATACGTGTCTAATGTTTTAAATAATCTACCAGACGGACATTAAAATAAAAATTTGTCATCTACACACTCCTAAACTTAACTCCGTTTTATCTAATTACTGTTTTCTTATACGACAAAATAAAAAAATACGTGTCTAATATTTTTTCATTACCTAACTAATTAGATTTTTAATTTTCATACCCTGTCATCATCCCAATTGTACCTATGAAATGACACACGTCAACTCATGCCTTAGATGCGTCATTGGCAATTAACGATATATTTTTTATCTATATAATTAATTTATTTTATCACATTGATTAATATTCTTAGGACTAATCGACGAAAAGGATTAATTCTTGAGGTTCATAATCTAGTTATGTATTTATATGACTAATTGTTTATGCAGTCGGTAGGCTGAGATCGTAGTTATGTGACATCAAAATTTGATCAATAAAATATCAAAAGTCAAATTCAAAATCATTCATTTCAATTAGACCTGTGCCTTTAGCCAAACGCCACTTTAGCGCTTGTCTACAGAGAGAGTAGAAAACTAAATGTATGGGGATGACACTGACAAGTGTCAAAATTTACGTCAATCCCATATAATTTGATTTTCTATTCTACATGTAGACAAGCGCTAAATGGCATTTGGCTGCAGCTGCTAGAAGACACTTTTAAACGTCAAAACAAAATATTTCATTATTAAATAATAAGAAAAAATGACAGTCTGTAGGGCGGTCTTCAAGTTGCTCTATTTGCTCATTCCAAGGTGTATTCGTATGTAGAAGAACGAGCAAGAAACTCCATAGGTTACTCTTTTTCAATCAGGTTCACAATACAATTCATGATAACGCAATACTTGTAATAACTCATCTTAACACAAAATCGAATTATTAATTTAATTTTATATGATATAAATCGATAAACGAGCAGACGGATCACCTGATGGTAAGCAATCGGCGTCGCCCATGGAAACCCGCAACACTAGAGGCGTTACAAAAGCGTTACCGGCCTTTTGGGTATCAGAAATTTGAGAATTGTTGGGCATTCAGGGATTGGGTAGATTAGGGAAGGGGAGGAGGGTAACTGGTCCTTCGGTAACCTCACTCACTCGACGAATTAGGTACAACGCAAGCGCTGTTTCACGTCGGTTTTCTGTGAGGCCGTGATATCACTCTTCGGGCATGGTTCTCCAACACTTGTGAAAATTTCGCTTAATACCCTAAGGATATGGGAAAAGAGGATCCATACTAATATTATAGATTCAAAAATGTTTTTGTTTGACTGTCTTTCACGTCGGAATGGGGCGACTTTATGGTAACGGTTTTGATATGTAGAGAGCAGGCTGGGGAGTAGATTAAGGTACATTTTTCCTTTAACGACGCGGGCATAGCCGCAGACAGGAAGCTAGTATTCAATATAATTGATTGTAATATAAGTTTATGTAATGAATTTGTCATTGAATGATTGATGTCGTATTCAAAAATAGCGCATAAAACTCTTTATCAGAGTTTAAAATTGAGTGCGATTGTTTTGTTTTTTATTTTCGTAGATGGTATAATTTTGTTCTAAAAGAACTTCAAAAAATGTTTACTGAATCGGCCACGTCAGTAAACGCTTTAAAATAAGTTTAGGGTGCGTCCACATCTTACCGAACCGATACCACCTTCAGACGTTCAAGAAAAGAGCGAATATCGTTTTAAAAGGCCGGCAACGCACCTGTAACTCCTCTGGTGTTGCGGGTGTCCATAGTTGGCGCAGATTGCTTACCACCAGGCGATTTACTCATTTGTCGACCCATAACATGAAAAAATCTCATCCTGATAGGGACAAGTCTATCCTACAATACTAGTTAATAGATTATTGGACATGTAATTCAATATAATAGCAAATTTTGTCATCGTATCGATTTTCTTAAGTGTGGGAGAGCCATGCTTCGGCACGAATGGGCCGGCTCAACCGGAGTGATACCACGGCCGAGCAGAAAACCATAGCGAAACAACGTTTGCGTTGTGTTTTTTCCATGTGAGTGAGGTTACCGGAGGCCTAATCACCTCTCCTCCCTCGTCTCCCCAATACCCGAATCCTCTACAATCTTCAAATTCCCAATTCCCAAAAGGCCGGTAACGCACTTGTTACGCCTTTTTTTTATGGGCGAAAATCATCGAGTGACTGCCGCCTGGGTGAGACGGGAGGGAGTGTCAGACTCTTACTGACTAAAAACCACCCCGTTCCTTCTCCTGCACGTCGAGCCGGAGCCCCGGTTACCC